AGCATTTTTTTAATCATCATTTACTCAAAATCAATTTCTTATCCCGTAAGGTGATTTTAATAGCTTAGCCCCCATATGTTAATAAAGAAATTATATTTACATAATTTTTATTTTCAATTACTTATATATGAAAAAAAAAAAATAATATTGCAAATAAAACCAAAAAATTTAAATTTATTTTATAATTAGCAATTCTATTTACAATTTAATTTTTAATTTAATTAATTATTAAAATATGATTTCAATTTTTTAGATCTTTAATTATTATTATTAATATTAATAAAAGCATAACCTATTTCTTAACATGAGCAATAGTTACGAAAGATCGCAAAGAATACAATGGTAAAAATTTTATTGATTTAAGAAAATGTTATAATTTGTAACCCATCAGTCAATTTCCATTTGATCATCCTCATCATTCATGTTATAATTGGTTTCACCATTTTGATCATCCAAATACATTGTTTCATCAATTTCAACTATTTTATCATCAGTTTCGTCTTTCATGCTATTGTTATCCTCAATAAGTGAATTCATAAAATAATCCTCGTTTCTTGGACGATATAAAATCAATTGTTTGCCCTCATTTTCAAACTCTTCGTTATTCAAGTGCTGGAATTGTGAACGCATATATCTAGTCATCGCTTTTTGATAAGGAAGTGTAAATGATATATTTGAAGTTGATTTTTTATATCGTGACAGGGATTGATTTTCTACAGGTTTTGCTTTATTAGATGAAATTGTATTAGAACCAGTTTTAAGTTCTTTTAAGACAACAGGTCCATAAATTCTAGAGTTCATCATTTCTTCGTCCTCTTCAATAAAATTGCACATATGTTCTTTGGAAGTTCGAAGTCTTTTATGTGAATGAAGTGAATTATTCTTGCTCTCCTCCACAGGTTCAAGAGTGCTAGACAAGTTAACTTGATTCTCAACTAATTCTATTGGACGTTTCAGTTTTCTGCTCTGTAAATGTTCCAAGGATGGGATCGATTCTAAAGACTCTCCCGTGGATAAATCGATAATCCGGGGAACATTTGAAAGTAAACTTGTTTCAATATCATTTCCGACATCTCTTTTACCAATATTTCTAGATGTACCAAATGGAGGTGTGGCATGTGTTTGGGGTTGCTGCGATAATGAAGAATTTACAGATGTGGCTGTTTTTATTTTTTTATATGTGTTATGTAATTGCTCTGCGGTTTCTTGGTTAAAAGCATTTTGATCAAATGGACGTTTTTTAAAATGTTGGAAGTCGGTTGTAGAATAGTGAAAACCGTGATGATGATGCGAGGTGGCGGAAGAGATTTGAGTACTCATATTGAAGTATAACTCTAAAGTTTTTTCTCTCTCTTTTTTTGGCAAGGTTACTGGTAAAATGAAAAAAAAAAAAAAAAAAAAAAAATATCACTTGAAGTGTGGAAAAACAGTACGCACGGGACTTTATTTATGACAATTTTAAAAAAGAAAAAAAAAAGGAAAGGTGGGGGGTTATTGAAGAATATATAGGAGTTTGAAGAAGAATGTTATCGAAAATTATAGAAAATTCTCGGTTATTGAGTCTCATTTCGGAAAATGTTTGCAAACTTTTATAGGAAAAAGCGCTAGAAATGATGCAATGCGGTAACACTGATCACATGATAACAACGATAACCAACGACATTTATCTAAAAATAGGGGTTTATTTATGCAACAATAATTTATTCATAATACAAATATGGCTAGTCACTTTGTTTCAAATAATTCATCCATCTCCTTCCAAATTACACTTTTAATAAAATTAGTAAAGTCAAGGCCGAAACCCGGTAACAATGAAAATTCTTTATGGAATTTATCAATCGATTTAACAAGAGGAAAGTCGAAGATGATTTTAAAATGAGGATCGGAGTCTACACTATAAATGTTATAATAAATAATATAAAAAATATACTACATGTTAATAAAATTCATCGTATCACATAATAAGAATCCGTGATAATATTACCTGGTCACACGAACTTGGACGATATGGCCAGAATGTCGCGTGCTGAAACATAACACTCTAGTTTCGGTTTTATTGTGTAATTCCCCGGAAGAATAAGTGACATCATACGCGATAACATCAACGAGCAAAATTTCTTTTCGTATCCGAGAAACCATTTAGATCAAGATATAAAAACATAATACTAACAGATACGTGTATGCATTCATTACCAGAAGTTGTCAAATTTTGTTTAGCAGGAAGGTCGTTTAAATACGCTTTCAATTGCCAATACCATTTCGTAAGAATTTTATCACTTTCATAATTTTCATCAGTCCACACGGTTGACATCTTTTGAATCGTATCTATCATAAAAGTTATAAAAAATTTTTTAGGGAGAAATACTCGTAAAGGTGGTCAAATAATATATATATATTTTTTTTATATACATGGAGTATTTAGAAATTCCTTATCCAAATTTTGCATATCCTTTACCCATGCTTCTTCATAATTTTTGTTGAAAGGTTTAGATTCACTTTAATACATTGAGAAATATCACGCGACAAATATAATTAAAAAAATATATATACACATATTAATAATACAAAAAAATACATTCATTAAAAAAATTTATTAACCTTTCTTGTTGAAATTGTCCGAATGACAAACGATAAAGTTGATTCGTAAACTCCAATTTCTCGGATAGGTTTATCTTGCTCAAATATATCTATTAACGTTAATGTCAATGACAAAGCTGTTTATTTAAAGATTATCTTCAAACACAGTAAGCAATCTTCAAATACTTTATGATGTTCCTCTTCTAGGTCCTTCAATGATTTATTACTATCGCTTTGGACACTTGAACCAACATCCTCGATCGCCTTATAGGTTTAGATTCAAACAAATTTAAACCTTCAAAACAACGGTCAGCTTTGCAAATCTAGCAAGTTTAGCCTACTTGTATTGCCTGTAAAAGTTTATTGTGAATATCTGTTTTGATTCGTCTCTTCTCCTTTTGTACCACCTCGAAAGCTTTTTCATAATCCCGTAAAACAGTTTCGCTTGGTTTAAATTCCATGACGAAGTTTTATTTTATGGAACAAAAAGGTATATAAATAAAGGAATTTTTGGAGGGACGATCATGTGATTTACATAGATGTTGATATAAATAGATGCAAATTTTTTGTTAAAATTTTTTTTTTTTAAATTTCAATCTATCGAGATTGTCACAAAAATAATGTCACAAAGCATAGGTGCACAATGCAACGATCTCAAAAAAGAATACGATACATGTTTCAACAAATGGTACTCTGAAAAATTTCTCAAAGGAGATTTACGACCAGAATGTGAAGAATTGTTCGAAAAATATAGGGCCTGTGTCTTGGTAAAGATATTTTATTTTTAATTCATTAAAGATATCAAAATTTGTAATTTTCATCTTTCGTTTGTATCCGAAATATTTTAGAATGCCGTAAAACAAAAACAAATTGACAAATTGTTGGTTGAAGCACGGAAAGATGATCCATTCACCTCTACTTCAGGAAAATAATAATAATTATTATTAATCTATTATTACAACTCTACATGTTTTTAATAAATATATTGGTTAATTATAAACTTTTTCATTCAACGGAACAGGAAATGGAATTGTTTGGTTTGTTCCAGTTTTTCCGCCCACTAAAAATCCAACGTAAGGCATCACATCCCAATATATTGAGTATTTCGCATTTACCTCACTACATAGATTGAAAAGAAGTCATCAATATAGATTCAATTTTAAAAAAAAAAAAAGATATTACAACTTAAATATACTTAACCCAAAGCTAGGTGTAATATCCACAAATTCATATTTTTCATTTCTCACTTTATTTCCTTTAATGTGGGCATCTTCTTTTGACCGAATAATCGAATCCCATAAAACCACCTGATTCAATTCCTATAACGCAACAAAGGTTATCAGAACGAACCTGTAATTTAAAGTAAAATCGAATTCATCACTTACATGTAATTCGGTCTCGTACTCGGCAACGACAGCAACAAATAGTTGTTTTGTATTCCAATTGAAGAGTGAGGTCAAGTCTTTAAAGTAAATAAATATACAAAATTTACATCGATACCAAATATTCGTGAATTATATATATGCATATACAGCAAATTTACCAGCATCAATATTCATTTCTATGAAAGCGAACTCGGTTTCTTTATTAGCATAATTATACAACCATATATTAAGTTCATTTATGTCAACCTTGCCTATCGGATTAGAAGTTATATAAAGTGAACTTATGGCTATTGATAATAAAAGACCGAACATGACGGTCATTGCAAATGCAAATATCGCACTTGCACGTTGAACAATATTGTACATCTTTTTATAAAAAATTGTTAGATAACGTTGAAAGGAGCAAATGTGTAGGGAATTATTTTTTTTTTTATACATTTAATCAATGTTACACGAACCCAAATGTGTTACAAGATGATTGGTCAAAACAATTTGTGTCAAATGATTTTTATTATCGTTAGTTAATTATCAAATCTAAACAATTTCTTCGGAATTTTTGATATAAATAAATTTTATATAACTTTGCGCTTTTAGATAACCTTCCCTAGTGACACAACCGGCCCATTGGATATCTAACTCCTTAAGACTATTCCCAAGATAACGGGTGATAACATCTAAATGTTGATCCGAAATACATTGACAATAAGGAATTCTCAAAATTTCCAAGGGAGACTTTAATAACGCAAGAAACATCTCAAATAACTCAGCAGTAAATGAACATGGCATATTGATCTCCAAGCATTGTAAAGTGGTTGGTAGTATGCGTCCAAATTCAAATGATCGATAATTGATTGGACTCTCATCAAACCATCGAGAACCGATCGATAAGCTCCTGAGTTTTGGAAACGCTTTAATAAATGTTGAAAGATATATTAATTCATTCGTGTAGAATGGCATATTCAAACTGATTATATTTGGACAATATTTCACTAAAGCAGAATTGATTCTTGGTAGACTTTCAATATTATCATGATATACGTGACGAGTGATGTATAACTCTTGCAAATTTGAATTTGTATTTCGAATCAACTTTAATAGAACATCATCAGTAAAATGAAAATCTGTCTCAATTATGTGTAATTTCCTTATACGAGAAAGCGAAGCGCTACTCAAAGGTTGTTTTGTTGTTATCATTGGAAAATAACATCCATCAAAAATTAGGACTTCCAAATTTTTACAACATTCCAATACGTTTGACGTATCCTCTTCAAAATTCAAATTATAAAATTCAGCCTCTGTTAATGTATCTCCCAAAGATGAAATAATAAATTCGGGGCAAACTTGATATTTCCCTATAAGTTTAATATGTTGAAGGATACTTTGTGACCTTATTAGTCTCGCAATATTATGAATTTCGTTATCTTCATTATAATCGAATGGTTCATCAGTAAAATCAATTGAAAGTTTTCTAATACTCGTAAATTTATCAGCCCAATCATCAAAATGAATGTGTATAGAATCTCCACTTATTGGCTTTATTGGTTGAGATTTTAACACTATGTATACTGATTCAAGAGACGGACAGTATTTTGTGATGAATCTAAGAAGTACATAAAGAATTATGTCTTGAGATACTTGATCAATTTTTTGTTGATTCGATTTCATCCATTTTGATATAGATTTTTGAAGTCTTTCTAGATGAAAATTTCGTAAAAATGTTACATAGTTAAAGGTCGAACGTCTTAATAATTTTGGTAATTTAATACCATTCGTTATTAATAGACTCCTGTCTTTTTCATTAAGACAGGAAAGATATGTCTGTATTAATTTTTCTGAGGCTCTAAGAGTTGTACCGAGAAAAGTAAAAGGTTGTCGCCATAAAAAAGGTGCTGTATTTTCACACCAGAGTCGATTGACAAGAATGCATGAGTGTAAAGACGTTTTGTCTTCTTGTAAAAAGCGGAATATTTCCTCAAAACAATCAACAGGTAAAATTGGAGCCATATTTATTTTTAAAAAAGAGAATATTTTACATAGATGAAAAAGACGAAAGTATTTGGTTTTTTTTTTTTTTCACGGTATATAACAATAGCGTTACACGAATTGATTTTCTCATTACATATATGATTAATTTTATAAAATCATAATTTTTAAAAAAATAAAGAATTTAAATTCTAAAAAAAAAATAGTTTTTTATTGAATTACTATTCCTATTGGATTTTTTCATAATTAGTTAATCTAAAATTTATAAAATAATTAAAAAAAAGAGTGATTATACCTTTTTAGAAAACTTTATAAGTAATTATTAGAAAGTTATATATTAAAAAAATTATTGCTCTCCAAATTCTAAAGATAAAAATAAAAGAAATATCTAAATATATAATAAATTAAATAAATTAAACTTATATACAAATTGTATTTTAAGATTATAAATATTATCTAATATAAATATAATTTATTTATATTTAAATTATACCAATTAAAAAGGAAATAACTAGAAAATGATAACTGTTATTTAAGTCTAAAATGATTAACTAAAAAAGTTTAAATTGCAAATACCAATCAGCATCAACTCAATTATAGAGTGAGAAAAAGTGGTTATCTTAAATTAAATAACATAGAATTAAATAGTCTTTCATTATACTCTAGAAAATTAGTTATAATAATACTTATGTTTATTCATATAAGCATAATTATATTATATAAATTAATTATTACACTTTTATTAGTAGATCTGCATTACATTGCTATAATAATATATTAAAAATTACAACTATCATAATAATTACAATTAAAATAAAAGTTATAACTATCATAAAAATTATAATTATAATAAAAAGTTACAACTAACATAAAAGTTATAACTTTAAATTAGTTGCAATTTTAGTTAAATTTTTAAAAAAGTTATAATTAGTAATTATAACTTTCAAGTTGCAATTTTTTAATTACAGTATTAAACTTTAGTATTTATATATATATATGTATAATTTAAATAATATACAAGTTTAATTTTAATTTTATTCAAATTTTTGATTTTTAAATTTTAAACATATGGGTTGATTGCTAGGAAAATCAGGTTCCGGAAATTTTTTAACAAAATTGAGATTTTTATTGTACTTTAGTTTTTGATATTATTAGATTAAAATGTATTAAGCTCTTAATTTAAGTCAAAAATTTCTCAGAACCTGATTTTCCTAGAAACCCTCCCATATAATAATTTTAAATAGTATCATTAATTATAGTAAACAAGTTATAGCTAAATATAGTAAATAATACTAATTATAATATCATATTAATTTAATTTAAAATATAAAAAGTTGATCTAAATTTAATTGTTAATTTTTTATAAAACTTTTTTACCTTTTCTTTCTTTTTTTAGCAATCATCTTGATAATATCTAAAAAATATAAATAACAAAATGAAATTATAAAATTAGATTTTAATAATGACAAATCTGATCTACTTTTTAATATATTAAAAGAAAAGAAAAATGATGTATAAAATTATTTTGATAAATTTAACAATGATAAAGAAATTTTAAAAATAAAATATTAATATTATAATAAAAGATATACAATCAATTCTCTATAAATACATTCTCTATAAATGCACTTCCTTTACAAATACATTCTTTTTCTTGGTCTCAAGCTGAGTCTTAAAGTTAAATACACACCCTTCATATTTTATATGTGTAATAGTTTTTTAGGTTTATCTATATAATACTATTTTCTATAAATATATGAATATAATTTTTTAAACCTGTGTTTAACAAAAATTTCTGAAATATAATCAGGATTTCAGACATTTTAGATTATATATTATGCGCAAAGCATATAATATATACAATTCAAACAACATTTTAGCATAATTTTTGCTATAAATAAATGTTTAAAAAAAATTACTTTGACTGAATTTCAGAAATACAATTTTTGTCTTTATGCTTATAATAACAAAAAAACTCGTTCTCAATATATAGATTAGATTAAACAATATAAAAGTTAAAGTTAACAAATCTACAATTACTTATATTTTATAATCTAAGAATAAACAGCTCTTTACAAAAATTATAAATCCAGAAAAAAAATGTTATAAGTCTATTATTTTTCCAGAATTTGAGATTGCTCTCAAGGAATTTGTATTTATTTATTAGCATAAAACAATTTAAAGTGATGTTTTATTAATTAAAAAAGCAAAAATATTAACTGATAAATTGGAAATTCATGAAGAAATCTTACAATTTTCTAATGGTTAGTTTCAAAAATTCAAGAATTGTAATGGTATTTATTAGATAAAACTCTATAGAGAACAGACTTAGCTGATGAGAATGCTATTACTAAAATCTTACCATTATTATAAAATAAGTAAGCTAAATATTCTTCTGAGCGAATTTGCAATATGGATAAAACTGGTCTTTTTTTATTAGTTTTATAAAAACTTATTATTTTTTACATTAATATTAATATATCAATCTTTTAAGTTAGAATCAGATCAAACATTAGTAATACAAAGCCTTTTTAGATGTAAAAAATAAAGAATGTCTCTCTATTGCTTTATGTATAAATGCTAATAGATTACATAAATTAGATCCTTTGATAATTGGTAAATATGTAAAATCACGATGTTTTAAAAACATTAATATTAAAAATTTATCAATGACCTATTTAAATAATTCTAAAATCTAGATATTATCAACTTTTTTTTAAGAGTGACTTCAAGATTTTAATCATCAAATTAGCTAAAAATATAAAAGGCAAAGTGTTTTATTATTAATTGATAATTATTCAAGTCATAAACTAGAAAATTTAACTCTTTCTCATATTGATGTTTACTTTTTACCTTCTAATATAACATCAAAATTTCAACAAATAGATTCTGAAATTATTATGATTTTTAAAATACTACTAACATTATCATATTAAGTAATCAAACTTTTTTTAATTTTATTATTTTTATAATTTAATATTAATTTTCTTATTTAGATGAATGTTAAAAAAAGTTAAAGCTGATCAGTTTATATAAAATTTAAAAATAGATGTTTTATAAATAATCCAATATATTATTCAAGATTAAAATAAAATTACAGTTGATACTATTCAAAACTATTAGAATTATACAAAAATTCTTCTTAGTAGTATTCTTTTAGTCAACATTTATGAATAATAATTTAATACTTTACAAAAAATTTGTTAATGTAATCAAAGTTCTTAATCTTCTAAATATAATGCAATTAAAAAAGTTTCTAACTATTTTTGAAGAAGAGATAATTTATAAAATTCCTAAAAATTCAGAAATTTATTTAAAAAAAGGCCAAATATAAATCATTCATATAAAATAGATAATAGTATTGAAATAGAAACTACAGTCAC